CCGCGACAGATTGCCTCCGAATTAAACGCCACTGTTCTTTCTTATCTTATTGTCAAGTACCACGAACGAACGGCAGATTAGATGCGTGTAAGCAACGGCGATAAGATGACGTTTGATGCGTCGATAAAACGGGAATGTCTGAGTTTCGTCGTGTTAAAACGACGAAACACACGGTAAACCTCGTTTCAGGTAAATTTTTCAATTGTTCCCGAGGGAACGGGAGGGTGATTTAATCGGAGAAAGAAGTCGCTTTTTCGTCCCGTTCTCCGTCTCCGGACTTGGTTGTAAGGTAGAGAGGTTCAATCGATTTCCGATCCGATCACCAATTTCTCCTCTTTTTCCCGGTGGTTCGCGAAGGTACAACGATCGTGGACACACCACCTCGACTGTGACCCATTTCCCGTAAACGCTTTATTTCCACGGCAGAGACAAGCTTCTCTCCCGTTTTCGAGTAGGTATATACTTAATTTTGCACTCGGAGCGTATTTCACCGGACGGATGATGCATTTCTTCTGATTCAGCGTTTTCAGATCGCGAAGAAATGTACATCCGCTGTGAATTTCTTTGGTTATTTCGGTCGAAACGGACAAACGAATTTCCGTCGAATCGGAAAATGAAGAGGGAGTTTCGGTTAGCTGACGTGTCAATTACTCGTAATTGTATACAGGCCGTTTAACTAGCGATCGAAGAACAGTTTCGAGTTACAGCGTGTATCACGTGACAATAGCACGCACGTAGGCGAAGCTTGTTCGCCAATTCGTCGTACCTTTCCTGCCGCTAGGTCGTTACGATTCTCACGCTCCCTTTACGACATTTAGCCGTACATGCCGCTGACAGGACTCCGCGATAGTTCATTCCCTTTCCAACAAATCCCTCTCCTCCGCGCGATAGTAAATCTCGTGTCCCCCCTTTCGTGATTAATGCATCGATGTTTCCGAAAAGCCAATAGAGAAATATCGTAAATCGCGGCGAACGGAACGAAACTGTGCCGATGCGGAGATACGATAAAACCTGTACGTGATTAAACGTCGCGTTTGAAAACGATCTGCACGGCGCCAAAGGCGTGTATATTTTTGTCGAAAGTATCTATTGGAAATATTCGTGGCGGAAAGAGAGACGGGTTGAACGACGGTGACACACGGGTGGAATTTTAGGCGACGTCTAAGCCGATAAGAAGCGTTCGCGTGCTAGCTGGAATTGGGTTAGCTGCTTCCGGTTCCGGAGAACGGTGAAAGCCTCGCGGAGGATTCACAGTGGCCGGAAGTGCGACTCCTTTACCACGCCGCTTCGTTCCTCTTTTAATTCCCTTACCAGATCATCGCGTTCTGTCTCCCACCCTTTTGCCGTTCGGCCCGCGAGAGAAGACGAAACTCGGCTCGTTAACCTTTTCGGTCAGAGCTCGCGCTGTTATTGCACGCTGCTGCTGCTTTGCTTTCTGGCGCACACCAGGGCGGAGAGTATTTGTTACGTAAACGTAACGTCGTGCGCTCGTAGCGTTACCTCTATTTATAACCGATGCGATGTTACGTTATCCTACGCGTAGCGAGTACTCTCTTTTTCGATAAAACCCATTCAAAGTTTGCCCCGGTATTTTTGGCCCGGCGGAATGTCGACCCGCCTCGAGGGCTCTCTTTTTCAAAAGAGCTTTCTCTTTGAATCGCGGACCGAAAAGGGGTTGTGAAATAGCCTTTCACACTTTAGGCGGGTGCTCCGAAAGGGCGAGGAAACGTCTTTCCCCCGCAGGCCTCTTGCGCGGGGAAAAGAATTTCTCGCGGTGTAGATTTCCACGGTTAACGTGGCTCCGCTCGTTCAGACGATACGCACTCGGTCGGCTCTCCTCTCGAACAAACAATTCAATTTTTGTCCCCCGGGCGAAGGCTGTTATTCACGAGGAAAAATGTCTGAAGAAAGTGGGCTTGAAGCATTCTCGCGACGCTATTAACGCGATGAATGGGATTAGCAGCGCGGAAAAATATATCTCGTGCTGCCTACGTTCCTTTCCACGTGTACGTACGCATACATTATTGTACGCAACGTTTAACGCGAAATTGATGTACACGCCGGTTAACTACCATTTGACGTCTGAATATCTCTACATCGTGGCGAGTTACGAGCTCTGCTCACGATTAAATTTAGACGATCGTACGAAGAATTTCCTCTTTCTCTCTGTTAATTACCACGGCGCAACAACGAAAGCAATCTAGTTAAGTGATTGCCTTTGTGTATCGTACAACAGCCTACAGGGGATGTTAGGCTGATTTGAAGATATTTCTTCGGCGAGCATTGTCGCGGTTTGCAGGCCATGTATCGTTTGTGGGGCGAGGAGATTCTGCTCGCGACTGGCGATTAGCTGTAACTCGAATGGAAATGTGCCAAAACTCGTGCTAATGCGGGACCGATCCGTGAACTAGGCCGTCGAACATTATCTTTAGTAATTAAAATCTCTCCGCCGCGTTTGTCCGTCGTGTGTGCCGTGTATTCGGGAGAAGAAACTTTTGCAGAATTTATCGCGTTCGAACGGGGAAAAGTGTCCGGTCTCGTCGATCGGTTCACGGTCCGCTTAATTTTCCATCGGATCTGTCGAACGATAGTTGGCAGTGTCGTCGTCGGGGAGACGCAGCCTCCCGATACATTAGATTTCTCCGGTCTCCGTCGAAGGAAGGGAAATGCGGACGAGTGAAAACGCAGACGACACGTAACCACTTTCTTGGGATATCTAAAAAGTTCCGGTCCATGAAGTAATCGCACCCGTTTCTGCCTCTCTCACATCAGTCGAGTCTCGTGGGGAGTCCTCTAACGGGTCCTCGCGTTTCAACTGCTACGTCTAGGGGAGAAGGAACTAGGTGATATCGTAGGGTGTGCAGCTGTTGCTCGTGTCTGCTCATCTGCAACGATCGTGTGTGCTTTTACGTAACTCGCGAGAGAACGGGAGAATAGGCGAGGGTGGATCGCAGAAGCGGAAATCGCTATAGTTTTGGCCTTCTGGCGCACTAAATATCACGCGTGTGCTAACATCGAAATTAATAGACCTTTATTATTTGGCCTGGTGAATCGAATAAGTACTCGGCTCGTTCGTATCTGGTACGACGACCTGTCTCCTGGACGAAAAGAATAGATAGTTTGGTGATGCACCATTTACCATGAGGGACGCCTTCACCTCTCCGTTATTACAGACGACGATAGACTCTTCGATGACATTCGAAGCGAGCATAGCTCCACCCGAATTTGTCAATCAAGGGAACAACCGGAAATACGTATGTATGTACATACTTAGCTTATCGACAGGAGTGGGATATTTGCATTTTAAGAGGCAGTACGAACGAGAACGTTGTCCATTCGAGTGATCTTCGATATCTGAACGCATCGGAAACTTGAACAAGCGTGTGTAGTATCTCTGGGGGAAAAAGCTAACAGTGTTAGAGGATGTACGCGTACGTGCCCTCGATTCTCTTTTCGCGCTCGTTTGCGGTCCTCTCGACTAGAGGGTGCGTATGCGTTAGAGTACCAAGCGTAGAACAAGCAGAGTCGAGTTGCATGTCGAAATGCGCATCAGATAGAACTTATCTCCCCTCGTACCGGGAACCGGGAACAGAAGCCTCTAGCAACCGTGTAGGAAAAAAGGGATTTTTTGACTGTGTGCCAAACGCTGGAATAAAATAACGGGTTCGTACTCGTTATATCCGCGAGATACAAGCGCGCCAACTTCGATGAGGTCGCGTCGAGAGAAACAGGGACAGAATACTCTTCTTCGCGACGATTTTCCCTATACGTCTAAGTAGAGAGAGGAGACTTTCGTCGAATCGACGATACCCGATCCCGTCGAAAAATACCGTCGCAGCCTAGTCCCCCCGATTTTCGAATATTTGGCCAGGAGCCAAGCCCTTCTCATCGGACGAGTGGCATCACGAGCCACGACATCGGATACGTATTAATGGACAAACCTCATCAACGCTCTGTTAAAGACGCGTTTAACGATCCCGCGACGTCGCCTAGCTCCGACTTTGCAGCTCGTAAATCCTACCGACTACGCGCACGGTAAAACGCACGCGTCCGGTAATTGGTTCGGCATGCGCCTGTTCTTTCTTCTTCTTTCGTTTTTCGCGTCGTTTCATTGTGACATTCGTAGAGAAGATTCGTTACTCTGTACGCTTTTAATTTCGCCAGTCTCTCTTACCGCGGACGGCTGGCACGAGAGATTTAATTAACTCGAGTAGCTGGCAACCTGTTTTACGAGTCCATAGATCTTGTCGCGGGGGAATCATTCGATTTGCATTTAAGTATTTCCAATAGAAACGAATATCACGCTTTAATCTTTTCTTTCTTATCTCATCCATCATCGTAGCGGGGAATCTGTCGAGAGATTTTCTGGCTAGCAGCTTCTTCGTCGACCATTAGCTCCTGACAGTGCTGTAAGAAACGGGGGGTTAATATCGTGCTTTATTGATTTCGTGTCAGCCAGAACTGCTCTCCGCCGCCGATGGAAGCCATATCCGTGTCCCTTCTCCGTGCTTCTGTAGCGCGGAACAATTCCTTGTGGTTCATGGTCGACGTTATCGTGCAGTAACCGGGGAAAATCAATGGAACTAGTTAGCAGGTTGAAATAGTCGGGAGTGAAAACTCGGTAACGAAAGATCGAGCTAGACAAAGCTCGCTGAAGAGATGAGAGGAGGCGCGAGGCGAGGTCGATATTCGAGGAATCCTCCGGCGAGCTAGCTCCTTGTACCTGTTCGTGCATTATCTTCCGTTAACTCCCGTGCATACCGTTATCCATTCCTCGCGTTTGCTAAGCACCGGCTGTGTACCGGTCCGGCTGGAATTCGCGTAGGTCTCGATCTCCCACGATCGAGAGACGCGGCCACCGCGCACACCTTTACTCTTACTTTCGCCCAACGACCTGCTATTTATCGCATCGATCCGGTCGCGGATGGTGACACCGTTTTTTCACGCAACGCGAATTCCT